ACATTGGGATACTGATATCTTTTAAAATGTTGCATGGTGGGGCAGGTGTGTTTTTGTTGTTGTTGTTGTTTTAGTAAAATGTGGAACTTTTTAACATAACTTTGGAAACTGATCTTTTGTTGGAAAGTCCAAAGTGGTCTGACCATTCTGGTGTGTATTTTGAGTGGAGAGATATAAATGAAACCCCTAAAAGAGACTCCTCATTACAGCATTGATGGCCCACTTCTTTTCTGTCGGGATTTAAGAGCATGTGCCCCTCTTGCTGTTTTGTAGACAAATGATACACACAAGAAAATCCTGCTTCTAACCCTCCCCTTCCCACACACACACACACTTTGAGTCTGAACATAGAAGAATAGAGATTGCTGGCTGCCTACCCCCTGCCAGAGTATACTGACCCCTCCAAGACATCAGTTCACCTAGAGGTATAGGGATAATGGAGAGCTGAGTACAAAGAGGAGGAGGGGGGAGCTGCTGATGCAACAAGTGCCCAGTGCCTTTCTCTTTGGGGGCATTCAAGTGTGTGAGGCCAAAATAGGAAACAGGTGAAAGAGTCCTTCCCCCTCCCTATCATGCTTCTGTGGGCAGAGCCTCCCAACAGGCAAGACTGTTTGATCTCATGCTTTGGGAGGGCGAATCCCTCTCACCCACAATGGTTTATGGCTTCTTCTTTTTTTATTAAAAAAAAAAGCAAAAGAAGAAGAAAGGAACCAATGTTTTTAAGTGGGCGGACAGATCTTTTACGTAGAAGTAGTTCTGGGTCTGCTGGAGGACCCAGACTGTGCTTGTGTTCTGAGAACAGAAGCAAAGTATTAACTCATCACATCTTCACAAGGTTTTGGGGGGTGGGGAGAGAGAGAGGCGAACATTCTGCAAGACAAAGAGGAGGTCCTTACCTTCGTTTGATTTGATTGTTTGGTTCTGAGGACAGAGGAAGATAGGTTGCTGCAACAAGGTATAATACGCTGAGCACAGGGTTTGTCGAGTGGCATTACATTGTTGAAGGAAAAATAACATTAAGACTCACTGAATGCACTTTTAAGTATCGTTGGCAGGATGGTGGGAGAAAATTTTGCACACGTGTGGGTTTTTTGTGTGTGTGCCTGCTCATTTCCCATTGTGCATCGATGCTTTGTTCATCTTGCTTCGGCATTTTCCCACAGCGGTGAGCCTGTTTCTCCTTGATCTCAGGCCTTATCACTTACTCCCTTCAATTATGGCAGTGCGTCTTTCTCAGTTGCGCACAATCCTGTATATATTTATTCAGAAGTAAATAACCCAGTGTTCAATTCGATTTACTTCCACATAAATGTGTGCATAGTTCGGCATTAATGACTCTACCAAAGACTCTTTTGTGGCAATGAAAAGCCAGCAGAACTAGACATGGCAAATGCTGTGGATTTCCACTCTGAGGTAAAGCTTGAGTGACAACGCTTCTTATTTGAAATATATAATAATAGAGATAATTGGTGTAAGGACCTTGCATCATCAGTCTTGCTCTTACCCTTGCTCCACACTTTTAGCTGCCACTGAGAGCAGAGGAGGGACAAAAATATAGGGAATATATTTGTTTCAGTCATGAAAAGAAAACCTCTTCCTCACAAATGCACTTAGAGCAACCATTTTGGCTTGATCCCCAGGAAGAAAATGTGTCACCAGAGAGAGAGAGAGAAAATAAAATAAAATAAAAATAAAAGAGAATGGGAATAAAAGACAATACAGACCTGCATCAGATTTGTATGATAGTTGGTATGTATAGATGTATATTTGGAAAGAATTACTATACATTGAATCAGAAATATAATACATGGAGAACTGTGACAAGGTAACTTGTGTGCCTGCTGCACCTGCTCTTCAGTTGGAAATTACATCAGGGTGCTTGTTCCCCTCTTTTTATGGTTCTTTATCTTAAAAAGAAAGAAAGGGTTGAAAACCCAATCAAACAGGGGAGTGGCCTCTATAGAAGAGAACACATGGTCACCTTTTATGTGCTCAGGATCAAAGAGAAATCGAGTAAGCCATTAATTGCATTAATCCCTCTCCTATCTTCCAAGGAGCTGAAGGTAGCATAGATAATTCTCTCCCTACTTTTATGGTTACAACGGCCCTTGGGGAAAGGGTACACTGGAACATAGGACTGGTCCTTGCTCACCTAGTAAGCTCCATGGCTCCGTAGTGCTGGTCTGATGCTCTGACCACCACCACACACACACACACACACACACACACTGTATTTTATCATAACCAAGAGACAGGAGTGATATTGCACTGATATTAATATTGTTATACATATGTATAGCAAAGAAATTACACAGGTAACTGAGCCCCAAATTATGTTTTCATAATCATTTTCCAACAATTTATATTCAGTGTCATCTATTTATAGTTATTTCCAGCACACTGCCACATTTTTAGAATAGTGAAGAATTTTTCCTTAACCAGACCAAATTGGTTAAGAATCAACTGAACCTTTTTGGTCTGGGGTTGGTTAAATTATGGCTCCATCTTAGCCAGTATTAAAAGATCAGAAGCAAATGTTTTGCATTCCTATGTCATGAACACAGGCTCAGAGATAGAGGAGGCAGTTAAGAAAACTCCTAATCTAGACAGGCTTGAGAATCTAGAGTTGTCCTGAGCCTCAGGCCTCTATGCCTATGACACCTGTGGCAACATTGGGGCCTGACACCAGCACTGGGACACTTGCTTCCAGGAGCAGCAAAAATCTTTGGAGCTGGTACACTGATAACAATTGCATACTTAGCAGGATCTTCTGGATAGGTGATGATGCCAAGAGGCCAGCCAGAGATCTGACTCTCCCATCCTCCTTGGAAAAAAGTGAGGTGAAGCATGGAGGAAGCCATCAATATAAGAAGCATCAGTATGGTCATCTTTGGAGCAAGGTGTTCAGTGGGAGCTATCCTGGGTGCTGAAGTTTCTTGCTGTTTTGCACCATGGGCTTTCCAGGTCTAACCTCAGCATGAGACAGGGTTGGTAACCTGTGCTTTTTCACTTTGAGCCTTAACTTTTGGTGACTTATGATAGCATCAGTATTAACCATGTTTAATGTTGCTCACTCCAACATCATTTGGTTGTTTTTTGTTACTGTAACTTCAAATGGGTTTTTCCACATGCTTTTATTTTGTACTTTGATTTTAATGCGGAAAGTATTGTAAAATGTTGTAAGTAGGTAACGTTGTACAGTCCGGCTGTTGTGAACTAATCTGTGGTGGCCTGAGAGGTAGACGACCCTCCCTCCTGAATTTTCCCAGTTCTTTTCCTATGTGAAGAGATTCTTGCTTAATCCAGGAATTTCTTTATTTATGTATAATATAATTTGTCCCTCTTTTCTCTCAAAATTTTGAATCAAGGCAGCTCACAAAAATTAATTAGAAGAAGTACAAAGAAATTAAAATTTTAAAATGTACTGGAATTAAAAGCAATTTAAGAATGCATCAATTGAAAAATACAACAGGTACGATAGTCCTCAGCAAACAGTCAGTTCCCAAAAGTATCTGGATAAAAAGGTCTTTGGGAGAAGTGCAGCACATTAGACTTTTTGCCCATAAAGAAAGAATGCTTGTTACTTCTAGTGTTGCAGGAAGCGAGGTGATGTACTTAATTTCCTCATGGCTAAATGAAAAATTCAATTGAGAGGCATAAGGGTGGCAAAAATATGACTTTGACTGATTTTACATCTGCAGTTTTACAAACATACTAAAAGCAGTGGCACAATGCAAGTAGCTGTACTATTTTTAATATCAGTGTAGCAATTACTATGGCTTCACTTTGCCATGAACTGTCAGATAATGGTGTTAAGAGTGAGGTCTTGCCCCCTTCCGTCAGAGTTCATCCCAAAGCCCATACTGAGGGACACATGTGTCCTTTCAAAATTCTGTCCATATTTTCTATACAAAATATTTCAAGGATACAAATGAGGTACTGAAAGATGTCTAAAAAAGCCCCATGGTATTATACCCAGATTTCATAAGCAAGACTATAGAGTCAAAGTCCCAGTTAGACCTGGGTGAGCTGATTCCCATTCTGAGGTAACTTTATATCAGGAATGGGAAAAGTGGTGGGTGAGTAACTTCTATGGTTGAAGAAATTTGTCTGAAACTTGGCAAGGAAAGGAAGTTAAATTTGATGGTGATTCTGTGGTGATTTTGAGGTAGAGAGGCCACGAAATTAGGTATTTATAGAAGTTTATCCTTTGAGAAATGGTATCCAACATTTTGATAGATATTCTCTAGGACTAACATCTGGCCTAAGCCAAGATGTTCTTGGCTAAAAACTCCCAGAAGCCTTCACCAGTAGCTTCACCACTGGCCAGTATTTCTGGAACATCTGGGGACCCAAGGGTGGGAACCAATGCTTTAGGGGTTTTCTTCTTCTTCCATTGTCTTTGCTGGATGAAGAAATTCGGTTTTCTAAATTGGATAAGACTTCTGTAGGATTATAATAGTAATTGTCAGCTAATCATATAAAATTCTCCTTCCATATATCACAGCAAAGCTGAAGTGAGAAATTTTACCACAGTATTGTGGGTGGTACTTTACCTGCATATTCGTTTATAGCTGTAAACTTATCTATATTATATATAGTGGTGCCTTGATCTATATTAATTGTATAACTAACCTTAAATCCCCTTTGGAGTGATCTATTGCATACTTCTACATGTAGCTTCTTCTAGAACAGAAATTAATGCAGGTGATCACATAGATCTTAACTCTTGCTATCTGAGAACTTTCTGATTTACTGTTATTTGTGTGTATTGCTGGTGTACATAAATTCTTTTGGCACGTATTGTTTACTTTGTTGGTTTATTAGTGCATTTCTACGTGCTCTGTGCTGATAGATCAGAGGGCAAGATAAAATCAATAAAACCCCATGAAAAATACAATTTTAAAACTGTAAACCATTTCAAAAATTCTAAAACACTTTAATACACTTTAGCAATAAAAGCGAGATTAAAACCGACTTTTCTTTTTCCTTGGCTGTAGGTCATTTCATGGGTAACAATACAGTGATAGATGTTTTAAAGAGAGAAGGATATGAAGTAGACCATACTTCTGCTGGAGAAGTCATCAACAGGTAAACTATGTGTCCTTATTCTACACCTTGTGCACCTACAAGCGGTAGAACATGTAGAGACAATTATCAGTGGTACGTTGGGCAACATACAGAATGTATCTTTTCACGTCCCAAGCCCTACTACCTCATTGCCACTGTCTGGAAAATGTTCTCTTTAAAATGAGAAAAACTGCTTCTCCTCAAAGGCAGCAAGGCATTTGGCCTCGTTTTATGTTTTTTGTTTTTTTAAAAAATGGGGTTCCCTCCCCTCCTCAGATTTGTTCAAATATATTCACTTTAATTTTATAAATGTAGTTTAAAAAAAACCTTGCTTAGATTCCTGTAGGGAATATTTGGCCTTAGAGTCTTCATAATTGCCCACCTCTTCTTTATGGTTATAACCATGCCCCAAATCCATCCAAATGCTTGTTGGCCTGAAGGTTCCAGAAAACCTCAGCCATGCTGGCTGGTGAATTCTGAGAGCATTATTCAAAATAAAATACAGTAAAATAAAATAACTTTACCAAGCTCTCCCTCACCCCGGGACATAATTTGAGAGTAGACAATAACAGTCATCTTGCCCAAGCAGTATCAGTGAAGTCAGTAGCTAGATAGATGACCCTTGAGTTCCATGACTGTATGTTGGAAGGAAAGTAGATCATAAATTTACTTACTACTCTAGTGAATAAATACACTGTTATTTTACATCTAGTGTAAACAGTACACATTTGCACATCTCTTTCTTCCCATTTTCTTCTGTTTCCTTTAAAAGGGCTGTGGAAATAATTTGATTGCTGCCCAGTAGATGAGTGGGAGTACAGCTAATCTGTTTTCATTGCAAAAAATATACTTGCTGGGATGTGAAAGTTTTCTGTGTTGCTATGTTTGTGCCAGCTCATTTGCACATCATGGAAGCCATCATTTGCTGTCACACTCATCAACAGAAAGTCCTACATGTGTGAGTCAGTTCCAGGACTCAAAAGAATCTGGAAGTCGGTGTTGGGGAGAGGAAAGGAGGCTGTATTAAGGAGCAGGGATAGCCAAGCTATGCAGGCAGTAAATAACATTTTTATGGGCTGCTGAATTCTAGACAAAGGAGGTGAGAGCCAAATTGTTTAAAAATAAAGATTCTCTTGGGCGTGAGTTCTTCCCAGTTACTGTGACTGTAAAGAGATAGATTATCCTCAGAGTAAGGGAGTGTCAAGGTTATTAAAAGGAAAATTATATATTCCATCTTCTTAGATTATCCTGAAATTACAGTAGCTTTTAAGCAGTTGCTTTTGTAATTAGTATTGTCGGATGCTTTCGTTATACAGTAGATTTTTCTTTCTGCTTCCCCGAAGTCTTGAACTGTTTTATAGAAGGGCTGTCAAAAAGTTTAATTGATTATTAATGAATTTAGTATTTTTAAGTACCTTTCTTGTGTTTGCAAATGGTATATGTTTGGTTAGTTTGCTTTGTTTTTTCAATGCTCAACCAAAAGTCATAATAATTAAGGATGATTTTTAAGTACAACTGCTTGTTATGAAAATCTCAAAGTAGGTGTCTTGTTGAAGTGCTGGATGAACTTCAGGTAATTTTGCACACAAATGTACTAAAGCTACCATTTAGAGAGAAGAAGAAAAAGAGGCTAGTTTTTTGGCTCTGGAATCCTGTTCATCAAGGGATAACATGACAGTATTTATAAAGTTACTGGGCATTTTTTTAATTATTATTTTTTTGCCAGCATCAAGGGCTGCATAAAGAGATTGTGCAATCAGTTGTGTGTTGCCAATTTTGACCGATTGTGCCGTATGCCCACAGAGGTGCTTTATGGATGGCACTTCCCTCTTGATGTAGTCTGAGCTACCATGGATTTAACACATTGAACCCTCATAGCTACTCAACAGGATTTGAGCTACAGTACAGTCTTTATTAATCTGTATCATAGTAAGTGACTCAATGTGTCAAAAATAGCTTCAGGTATAAACAGATGTGCCCTTTGGCATGTCCGATTTTAAAATCTTCCTTCACTGACTAAAGGAAGTGAGCTCACTATGGTTTCTTCACGTCACAGTGAAAAACGGTTTCATTATTATCTACCAAATTCCAAGGCGAAAGGAGGTTTTAAACCAGTTTAAAGCAGGAAGAGTGCATAGGTCATATTCCACAGGACAGAGAGGAATGTTTCTTTATCTTCTGCTGCCTCTTTCTGTAGCATTGAATCACCGAACTGTCCTTGGCTTTCCTCTTCCTCTGCCTAAGATAAACATTCTTCAAGACTAGGAGTCATGGACCATTGACTCATCAGAGCCTACGGGGAGAACCCTAACCAAAATCATCAGTGATTTGTAATCTTAGGCGCTTATACTTAGCCAAACCTAGGGCTATTATTCTCTTCTTTTGCAGAAACTAATTCAGGGTCACTCTTAAGTCCACCTGTGACCTCCTAGGACACTTTTGCATTCCATCCCACCCCCACCCCCTTTCGCTTTGATCAGTATGTCCAAAATTTGCTTTACATTCCTATTCCTAGTTCAGGTTCATTGAGTACATTTTGCTGACAATTAAAGGCATGGGTTCCTTCACTTTTTGCATTTCTCTCTCTCTCCGGTACACTGAGTACAAGAGTAGGAGAGCCGTAAAATAATCTCCTGTGTTTTGTGTATATTTTGGAGTGGCACACATTTTGGAAAGGAGTGGGTGTGATTCCAACCACTTCATGTATTAAAACCCTCTTATGTGGAGAATGTGCTCTCCTAATGTCAGGCTGATTGGAGATCCTTTGACAATCTTTGACAACCTTCCTTTTCACTAGGGTTAATAAAGGGGAGCTTTCCCCCCTTATTCCTTCCTTTGGGGGCATTTCTGTGGATTAAATGGGGATATGGCTTTTCATTAGAGCAACAGTTCAATATTAGCCAACGATGTGTCTCTAGTTCTGAGTACCCTGTATCCAGAATCCTTTAAAAAAGGTCAGCATAAGTCAGAATTGACCAGATGGCATACAATTATTCTATTTTCTCTTACATATTCACAATTCTTTTTTGGCAGATTTGATAATTTCCTTGCACACATTTTGAGAATATTTGCAATGGAGAGGGATAATAATTGTGAGGTATTTTGCACAAGGTGTAATTTGGAAAAGAAAAACCGAGTGCACTTTTATTATGGACACAGATAATATTAGGAACTCTGGAAAATCTGAATGGTTGGGATTGCTTTGTCAAGAAATGCGAAGATGGCTTGCATGCAAAGTTGACAGGTGTAAAGATGGTGTGTTCTGATGCAACTATGGAATTTTCTACTCCATTCCTACCTTGCCTTTCTGCTTAGCTAATATGGTAAGGAAGGCTCAAAATCTGTCCAGAGTTTGAAACAAGTTAGAGTCTAGTGCAGGGATTGGACAAGAAAAGCTCTGGCTGAGTTCTCACATACAGATACACAATTTTTTCAAGGAATGTCTGTGTCTCCAGGTTGCAATTTGGGAGCGTACTTTGAATGGAATCCTGAGAAACAAATGTCTTCAGGTCGCAAAGCAAAAATGAGTTTGAAAAGGATAGAAATTGGTTCTCTCCTGCTTGCAAATTGTTAAGAATGTGATTTTTTTAACTTGATAAATACTTGGTACCTGCACAATCCATTCACTTTAGCTCCTCATTAATTAAAAAGTGTTTCCCTGTCTGTGAAGAAAGAGCCTTTTACTTGTTGGTCCACAACATTAATTTTGTTTTTACTGTTCACTGAGATGCACTTGCCCTCTGTGTATTTTCCTTTGCAAACTTTCTCTGTGTACATTATAATTAGCAACAAGCTAGTTGTTTGTTTGTTTTTAACAAGAGATATATACTGGGTAAATTGTTGAACACTTTTGACATTTTCAATGAAACAAGATCTTTAACTTAAACAAGTGCAAAAATATGTATAGAACTTGACATTTCTCCAGTGATTAATTTTGAAGACACCCACCTAAGGTCCTCCTTCAGAGTCCTTTTCAATGGAATATCTTTTTCTGATTTTAGTGGGAAGAACCAGAAGACGGTGTCTGCCCTCACTTCATCTTCCCCTGAATACCCCTCTTACATCATCTCTCAGGAGCAACACCCTCCCCAACAGAAAGAGGAGGAGGAAGAGGAGGAGGAGGAGCTGTTGCCCCACTTGTTGCTGCCAGAAAGCATTGACCTGTTGGAGAAAGTAGACCGAAAATATAAAAAGAAGAAAAAGAAGCAACAGAAGAAACAGCGGCTGCGTCAGTTCAATGACCTCTGGGTACGCATCGAGGAAAGGTAAAGAGCCAGTTAAAATGAACGTATCAGGCCAAAAAAAAACAAAACTCCAGAACAAAGCATAAGAAACAAAAATACTGTGACACTTTAAAGACTAACAACTATATTTCAATGGATCAAGGCCACGTCCTCAAACATTAGAGTGAGACTATATAACTGCCATGTTTATACATGATAAATGACCAGGTGGGGATACATATAATAGACAAAGTAATAATGGTTTGTTAGTAAAGGAATTGGGCTATCAGGCTGTGAATAATTACAGTTATCACTCTACAAGTTAACAATAGCATTAAAGTATCCACTTGAAGTGGGCAGTGAGCCTTGGGATGCCAGCTTTCCCATGGACCCATTCTAGCTAGGTGCGCATGCATATGGTAAAGGAAAGCAATAAGGAGCAGGAAGCCCATTAATGATAAACTATGCACAGATAAATGTGCAGACGACCATAACATTGTGAGGGATAAGGAGTGTGAGCAATCAAAAATATTCTGCTATAAAGAGGTCTTAATAGAAACAGAGCCAAGAAAAGTTTTATTTGAAGCACAGGCTTTTATAGAGTTTCTGATTGTCAGTTATGGTGGTACATAAAAATATGGTAATCAGAAACTTTATTAACGTTATTATTAATGGTAGGAACGCCAGCAACAATAATCATCTCGGTGTCCTGTCTTGTTAGTCATTAAATGTAAAAATCAAGTTAATTTTTTAAAAATTAAAATTAAAACTCCTAGTTAAATTCTCGGCTGAAGTCAAACATTTTACACACACCTCTGAAAGTATATGTAGGAATCCTTTATAACCTATAGATAACCTTGCTCATTTCAATTGTGTTTGAGGCAGGACCTTTAATAACTTTAAGGCATGAACAAGTCAGGGCCTAGTTCCTGATTTCTTGATGAGATGGAGTGGGCCTAGTTGGTCCTGCGGTCCTCACAATCCTGAAATTGTGGTGTCTTTCCCACTGCTTAGACCCCAGGCTGCCCACAGTAGTGGGTTTGTCTGCGTAAGCTGCTCATCTGGCTGCATTTGCTGTCAGGGCTGCTACAATTATAAATCACCAGCTGGTTCTTTTCTACCTGCCTGTGAATGTTCTATTGAAACTCTTAAAGTTGAGGAGGGGTAAGTGTTTTTTTGTTGTTGTTTTTTTTAAAAAAGGATAGCAATTGCCTTCAAAATCCCAACAGCTTGTTTTAAAAAAATATTTTTAATGATAATGCCTTTGGCGAACAAAAGGCTGAAACAGCATAGCAACCACATGGTGCTGCCATAAGTGGAAGAGTTAATATGCTTTGTGTTTTATTGGCTGGTGGGCTTTGCTTACTTTAAATTTTGCCTGGAACATAAGGAATGACTATAGCTCCCAGAATCTATAGTTAGTGTTATTCAGCTGACCGTTGATTTATATATATTGTTGGCTGCTGCTGGCATGATTTTTTTAACTTACTATTTTATTATACTGTTTTCACTTAGCAGGAAGGGAGGTACCCTTGTGATTGATAGTTTTATTTTCTAAATTTGATTGTACAATATAAAGGTAAGATATTAAAATGTCCTCCCCTCTCCCTTCGCAATAAGTTAGACAATTCCTTGATATCAGTAGCCTTTATCCCTAATGTGACAGAGTTCCACTTGGGGAAACATTTTATTTTATTTTATTTTATTTCACTTCATTGAGGTGATTCCATCACAGGCTCCCATATCTGTAATTTTCAGGGATAAAGCCTAGATACAGTTTTACTACTGCAGGGAAAACTAGGCCTGAGAAAGCCTTTGTTTCAAATATTTTGTCTGCAACAGCCTCTGCCTGTTGGTTTCTTTTAGGCTAGTTGTTGTATTTCAATCTGTACTGTAGTTGCTCTGCCTTTCTCTCTCTCTCTCTCTCTCTCTCACTCTCTCTCTCACACACACACACGCACACACACACCGACATAATATTGTACAAGGACACTAATATAAAAGTCAGAGGTGTGTTGTAGGGTTCCTGGCTGTTCCTTATTTCAAAGAACAGTTGCTTCAAAAGGATTGCCCCATTTCAACAGTAAATAAGAAACAGGTAGCAAGACGAATTGTCTGGATTACTCACCCAATGTATTTTTATATACGTGTATATATACACACACACACAGACATACACACAAAGGGACATATATACTCAGGTGGAACTATGCATACAAGAGATATGAAGCTGTTGCTGAAAACTATAGACTACATCAAGTCCTCCCCATTTGTAATAAATGTGTAAGGACAAGCTTTGCTGAAGGAAAATCACCATGGCTTCTGTAAGGGGTAAGTCTTGCCTCACAAGAAGCCTGTTCATAAATGACCTGAAGACAGGGATAAGCAGTAAGATGGTCAAGTTTGCAGATGACACAAAACTTTTCTGCGTGGTGAAGTCCAGAACGGATTGTGAAGAGCTCCAGAAGGATCCCTCCAAACTGGGAGAATGGGCAGCAAAATGGCAGATGCATTTCAATATAAGAAAATGTAAAGTAATGCACACTGAGGCAAAAAAAAATATCAAAAATTAATTTATCAGCTGATAGGTTCTGAGCTGTCCATATTGGATCAGGAAAAAGATCTTGGTGTGCTGATGGACAGCTTGATGAAAGTGTCGACCCAGTGTGCAGCGACAGTGAAGAAGGCCAATTCCATGCTAGGGATCATTTAAAAAGGGGATTGAAAATGAAACAGCCAACATTGTAATGCTATTGTACAAAATGCTGTTAAGGCCGCACTTGAAGTATTACATACAATTGTAGATGCTGCACCTCAAAAAAGACATAGTGGGACTGGAAAAGGTGCAGAAGAGAGCGACTGAAATGATGACTGGGTTGGGGCACCTCCCTTATGAGGAAAGGCTACAACATTTGGCACACTTTAGTCTAGAGAAATGGCACCTGAGGGGGGGACATGCAGGGCATGGATAAAGTGGATAGGGGGAAGCTCTTTTCTCTCTCTTGCAATGCCAGAACCAGGGGACATCTACTCAAATTGAGTGTTGGGAGAGTGAGAACAGATATTTCTTTAACCAGTGTGTTGTTAGTCTGTGGAACCCCTTGCCACAGGATGTGGTGATCGCATATGGCCTAGATGCCTTTAAAAAAGGGATTGGACAGATTCCTGGAGGAAAAGTCCCATTGCAGATTACAAGCCATGATGGGGATGTATCATCCCCAGGCTTAAAAGGAAGGTACCTCCAAATGCCAGATGCAGGGGAGGGGTATCAGGAGACAGGTATCTAGTTGTCTCATGTGCTCCAAGAGGCATCTGATGGGGCCACTGTGAGATACAGGAAGCTGGACTAGATGGGCCGTTGGCCTGATCCAGCAGGGATCTGATGTTCTTCTATTTACTTATTTATTTATTTATTTGATTTATATCCCGCCCATCTGGTCTGGTCGATCACTCTGTACCTCATGTCCTTAACCCCTAAGGTTGCATTTTCCTTCTCTCCTCCCCCCACCATTCCAACCCCCTCCAAGTCACCGGCTGCTGCTAGTAGAGACAAGTAAACTCATCCATGTCATGCCATAAGGGTACCGGTTGCTATGCATTACAGAAAGGAACAGAAAGGAGAATTACATATGGGACTGCCACACTGAATAAAAATTAATCTGTCTTCCTTGTAAATCTGATGTGTGGTGCAGATAGGCCTTTCAGCAGGTGTCCCTCCTGTTGTTGTTGTTGTTGTTTGGTTGTTGTTGTTGTTGTTTATGAATGAAATCTGATCAGAATTGTTCTTTTTATTTTTCTTGTCTTGCCTTGCAGCACCACTGATCCACCACCTCGCATTCGAATAATTAACGGCTACATCACCGTAGAACCCCAGCCACGTGGGCGTGGACGATCTAGTCACATCCCGGCAAATGCAAACTGCTCCAGTGCGCTGCTCCCATTCCTTTCTACCTTGGCATTGACTTTGGTGTTGTCTACAGTGACGATTCTGCTGCTGGTGTGAATCTCTCACAAAGAACTGCATAATTCCCCCCATTTTAAAAAATGGATCTGGTGTGGAAATGAAGAGGGTGGGTGGAAGAAAGACTTTTTTGAGTGAGAGATCATCTGTGTGGTGCTTGGGTTTTTTTTTTAAAGAGGCCTCATCCTTTTCCTGAATCTGGACCATTAATGTGATTAACTGGCTTGCCCAATACAGGAGAAGATATTTTTAATGAAAGCCATTATTTATCCTTCTCTTGCAGAAGAATTATTTCATGTTATCCCATAATGATTTTGGGAGATGTATATGTAACATAGCTGTTATTTAGCTGTATGAATGGAAATGAAGGGGGGTGGTGGAAGAAAGACATTTTTGAATGAGAGATCATCTGTGCGGTGCTTGGTTTTTTTTTTTTTTAAGAGGTCTCATCCTTTTCCTGAATCTGGACCATTAATGTGATTAACTGGCTTGCCCAATACAGGAGAAGATATTTTTAATGAAAGCCATTATTTATCCTTCTCTTGCAGAAGAATTATTTCATGTTATCCCATAATGATTTTGGGAGATGTATATGTAACATAGCTGTTATTTAGCTGTATGAAATTGACTAAAATACACTTTGTTTTGCAATTTGTTGATTCCACATCATTTCCTATCTGGTGGTAAAGAAAGAAAGCTTTGCCAGCAGAAAGCGGTGACAACCTGAGTAAAGATAGTACAGGCTTGTCTATGCGGCTGGGCTGGAGTGGGCTGGAGCACGCTAAATAGGATTTCTAGAAGGTCTGCTATACCATTTTGTGTAGTCCTTGCATCCAATGGCATATAGAACTCAAGCAATTCTATTTGGTTTACAATAGCCTGCTGTCAATTTGCCAGCATCATGGAGTGGCTCAAAAGGAAAGCCAGTTTGTGATATTAGCAAATATTTCATCAGCTCCATGGAGGAGCCAAATAATCGGGTGTAGGTGTGGGTGGGGAGTTCTTAAGTATTAGAGCTGTCTTAATACCTGCCTAATACACATACTTAATGCTGTTTTTAAAGCGATGCAGTGCATATTCGCAATTAGAATCATAGAATAATTGAGTGGGAAGGAACCTATAAGGCCATCAAATTCTAACCTTCTCCTCAATGCAGGAATCCAAATTAAAGCCGATCTGACAGACAGTTGTCCACTTTTTGTTTCGTTTTTTACTTCCTCCGTTCCCCCACAGCGGAGGATGTGTTTAATTTGCCAATATCTTGAAGTGGCTTTTTTCATAATACTGGCAAAATAAAAGAGGAAAACCCACTTTAATTTGTTTCCAGCAATCACACATGCTGGAAATGGACCAAAACAGAGCAATCCTACCTGCACTAAAAAAAGTAATGCTCCTGACAGAGATCAGAAAGATGTAGGTAGGACCATTCTGAGGGCAGGCTGGTTCACTCCAGCAAAGACATCAGATCATTTTCTAGGAGCGAAGCAGCTTGTCCCTGCAGTGGAACAAATAGTGGCTAAACACCCATTCAGCCCGTTCCTGTTGTGCTGCCTTGAATGATGGCATTTATCTGTATCAGATTGACACAACTCTCTGGCCCTTCTTCCTATGTGCTTTTCAGAAATTATTATTTCTCCTTCTCTCGTGTGTGTGGTGCACAAGTGCATACACATACATATTCACCAGCAGTTATCCTCCTATTAGGAAAAACTTCCTCTCATAAATATTGTTGTATTTGAGATCTCAAACACTTGCTGTCCTCTCCAGTATTTAGTCTGTTGTTGTAAGACGTCATTGGAACCATCTTGTTTGAAATAAAGAAGTGCTTCATACTTCCTGCTCCTTCAGAAGGACTGATCAGTCCTTGTGTGGGAGAGGTGGATATCCTCTGACTGCTTCCCAGGTAGTTAGATTGATCGACCTGATTATTTCCTATGCCAGTGTTGCGTTACTGTGCCTGTCTCCCAGTGTCAATAGTCTTCTACCATAGTCTCTGCCTTTCAAATGTTGTCAAAGTGATGTGGGAAACAATCATCTTGCAGAGGCTCCACATGTTATATACATAATGTTATCTTAAACCTCAGTCAGGTACCTGAGTCATATCCTTCTACTACACTCGCAATGAGATTGGGTAAAATATTGATCTGTCTTCTTTCACCACCTTCATATACTTGGAGCTGGAATGCACATGTCTTTTTCTCGTGTGTGTGGTGCACAAGTGCATACACATACATAATCACCAGCAGTTATCCTCCTATTAGGAAAAACTTCCTCTCATAAATATTGTTGTATTTGAGATCTCAAACACTTGCTGTCCTCTCCAGTATTTAGTCTGTTGTTGTAAGACGTCATTGGAACCATCTTGTTTGAAATAAAGAAGTGCTTCATACTTCCTGCTCCTTCAGAAGGACTGATCAGTCCTTGTGTGGGAGAGGTGGATATCCTCTGACTGCTTCCCAGGTAGTTAGATTGATCGACCTGATTATTTCCTATGCCAGTGTTGCGTTACTGTGCCTGTCTCCCAGTGTCAATAGTCTTCTACCATAGTCTCTGCCTTTCAAATGTTGTCAAAGTGATGTGGGAAACAATCATCTTGCAGAGGCTCCACATGTTATATACATAATGTTATCTTAAACCTCAGTCCAGTACCTGAGTCATATCCTTCTACTACACTCGCAATGAGATTGGGTAAAATATTGATCTGTCTTCTTCTTTCACCATCTTCATATACTTGGAGCTGGAATGCATTCCATTAGTAACTTCAAATATAGGAACATTGGGTATGGGCTGCTATTTTAGACAGTGCTGTGGTCAGGATGAGGAAGCCTCTGCCACCATCTGGCTGAGCTGCTGAGACGGAGTGTTATTTCCATAAACATTCAGATAGGTCAACAGGCTGACAGTCCATCTTTCTAAAAAGAAAGGAAAGTTGCCAGCAGGGTAAGAGCTCAAGCTGCCTATAAATAATTCCAGAAGTATATCTAAAAGTTGTCTAAGTAGACAACAAAATGGCACATGAAATGCTGAGCATCAAAAATAAATCATTAGTACACATATAAACAGATGGGACTTAGATTGGCAGTGTGTAAACAGGAAAGAAATAGTGGGGTTGGAATCTATAGTTCAAGTTGTACAGCAGCTGTGAAAAAGGCAAATTTTATGCTGGGGTTTATGAGAAAGGGAAATCAGAATAAGATAAGTATAGTCATGTTTGTATCAAAATTGGGGTAATGTTTTGTACAATTCTAGGTACCCCATCTCAGAGGTAAAGATAATGACAGCCAAAATAATCAGGAGATTGAACACCTTTTTTTAAGAAGAGAAGCTAAAGTGCTTAGGGTTTTTTTTTCATATTATGAGGAAGCTGAGTAAGGACAACGTGGATAGTGATATTATGACAGGCATAACCTGTGCATAGTGTTCAGAAAGTAGATCAAAACGTGGCCCCGTTCCCTAATCCCCATATATTCTACATGCCATTAGTTTCATGAGCAAGGTACACAGTTCACTGGATTGTTCTTGCCAGTTTTCACCAGCAATTTATAATTTTTCAACATAGTCAAGGATTGTAGCACCTAGATTGAACATTCTGCTTTAGACAGTTCTGACATTTGCTTTGTGTGACACATTTCTTCAGCTAGAGGGGGAGAGAGAGAAGAAATTTCACAATTCATGCTCTTATTGGAACGAAAGGTTGAACAAAGTCAAAAGAAAGAGGAAAAATTTCACAATTCATGCTCTTATTGGAACAAAAGGTTGGACAAAGTCAAAAGAAAGAGGAAGAAGGTAGAGCATCCAAATGTAAAGACAGAACAAGACTTCTTTACATTCTTTCAATTTAGCACCTTTTCCTCCCAAGAAATTTAGGTAGGAGCAGGCTGCTGTGCAGGAGCACATTTGTATACCAGACTTCTCTAAGCCTGTAAATTGGAACATAATTCCCATAAGCTGTAGTCAACATGGACTATGGTCTTGGAGGCTGGGTAGGTGGGGATTGTAATGCATCATGTCTGGAAGGCATTAGATTAGGAAAACCTGCCATAATCACTCTCCCCTCAGCGGATATGGTTTTATACAAAGCAGTTTCTAAAGCTCTGAAATGGTACATAGATTGTGAACACTCTCAAAATCGCACACTGTTTGCTGTCCTTGTAGTATGTGATAAACGAGCATGAGTGAGCTTCAGAAAATCATAAAGAATCAAAATGAGAGGAGGGGGACATGAATTCATCACAAAAAAATCTGGTAATTACGACACATTAATACAAGTCTCAGAGTGAAGTCATGCCATAGCATGGCATATACAGCAGTTTAGTGATTGATCTAGCTCATTACTAATTTAAGGACCCTCCCACCCTTAAGGAAGAATGATCATTACACATCTGAAGAAGAAGACACTCTGCTACCTGCGGAAATCTCAGAAGCTGAAGAAAATATTCCCTCAGAGCATTCATTACATTAGAAACACAGGTGAGAACAGCCTCTGGAAATGTCTCCAGGGACATGTGGAAGACATAGGTCCCATGGCTATGGTCATCCAACAGTTTTCAAGTGGAGGACAACAGGTCCACTCCTACTTGAGCGTGTCAGGAAGGACAGAAACAGAAACTATGGTCATCCAACAGTTTTCAAGTGGAAGACAACAGGTCCACTCCTACTTGAGCTTGTCAGGAAGGACAGAAACAGAAATACAGTACTAATGTCAGGCAAGGCTGGAAGAGCCTAGTGCAGAAATTTACTGGCATGGGAGAACTGGCAGAAACTCATTTGGGAATTCCCAGGTCTAAGAAGGATGCGCATGAAGATACAGTGCTAGTAATCTTCTCAGGTGTCCCTCAGAGATGCTATTTTTGCTACATAGTCCATACAACAAATAGACACAGCATGTATCCAGGGACTAGAATGAGAGAAGCCTCACCAATGTAAAAATGTGGAAATCTCTTGGAAGCACTGACCTGAAGGCATATAATGGGCTACTGCCTTTAGTTGCGGGGTATCATAGACAACGAACAGCCTCTGGAAATGTCTCCAGGGACATGTGGAAGACATAGGTCCCATGGCTATGGTCATCCAACAGTTTTCAAGTGGAGGACAACAGGTCCACTCCTACTTGAGCGTGTCAGGAAGGACAGAAACAGAAATACTAATGTCATGAGAGGCAAGGCTGGAAGAGCCTAGTGCAGAAATTTACTGGCATGGGAGAACTGGCAGAAACTCATTTGGGAATTCCCAGGTCTAAGAAGGATGCGCATGAAGATACAGTGCTAGTAATCTTCTCAGGTGTCCCTCAGAGATGCTATTTTTGCTACATAGTCCATACAACAAATAGACACAG